TGAAGGATGATGATGTATCATTATCATGTAAGATTACTGATGCCGCAACAGAAGGAGACTTGTTACAAACTGATACTTTGGTTTTTGTTTTATTCCCCAAGGTTAAAGCATAGATAGGGACAATTATAAAGAGCATATATATAAGCATTGGGGAATAATGCAACTTGGAAATCTGTGGTGGTCGGGAATACCTCTATACAGAGACTATATGCTTAATTTATTATTGTACACAGTAGGCAGATATAGTGCAGATTTGGATGAATATCAATACATATTTTATACCCAGATTCGGCATTGAGAGGCCTGCTTTTAAAGGAACATAGTTCCATTAGCATTACCAAAGTCAACCAAATTGCACCAAGCAAAGTTCTTGACCTGGGTTCATTTTCAACTCTAGAGAAGCTGTTTCGATTCTCAAGTATGCAAAAGGTGTTAAGAATAATGTGACTGTAAACAACTTAAAGAAAGAGGTACAATGAAAACTGATTTGCAAAATTTTGATTCATTGCAATCAAGAAAGAGATACATACCATGGCAGATTTCATTCATTATCAAGGATATTTGACATTTATATATTGGAGCAAATTCCCCACTACACAATTAATCACATAATTAGAGAAGTCAACATGGCCGTTGATGCTTTTGCCCTTGACACATAACTATAGTCAGTCTTGTATTTGGTTTTTTAATTTTTCTCATATTAATAATTTTTAAGTTACTTTTTGATAAGTTTGGAAATAGAATCTGTAGAGGATCCTATGTGTAAGTTTTTTATCTTTCAAAAAACTAAGAAAACTGATTGTAAATTGTGATTCTTATATATTCTATTAATTGAAATGAAAGAAGAAAACTGCATAATGCATGTTGACAAGAGATCAGTATAATTTTTTTTATTATTAAAAGCGATATCCTAAGCATTGATATGATCGCCACATGCAAGACATCAACATAGTGAAAATACATCATCTTGCAAAAGTCGACATAACACATAAAACATTGCTTTATACATAGACGGAAGGCCCTATAGAAACCCTAATTGGTGACCCAAACAAAATGAGAAACCCTAATTGCAACAATGGTTATACACACAGGTCGACCGTAGAGAAACCCTAATTGCTAATTATTCTAACAATATTGACAATATTGATGATTGAGCTTTGAGCCAATATCCACTGTTGGAGAAAGAACCCATATATACTTACAATCCAAGTTTTCGGTTCATTTATGTGATCACAAATACACAGTCGGCAGTAAGTTGTTTTGGAGTTAGTAATAATATATGGAGTATCTGGTCCACTCTGCGTCTAAGAATTATTACAAAGGTCTGGTGATTGTTGTAGGCATGCATGTGAAACTCGTCTTTTAATGGAATGGCTAGTGATAATATTAATAGGGGTCCATCTGCTAGTTTAAATTAAGAAGTCTTATCTTAGAACTTTTTAGTATGATTTGGAGTGTAGTACATATCAAAATTCTCATAAACATTGGATTTTTTATATATATTTTTTTTATCAAAGATTCAATAATCGAAAACACCAACAGCTTAAAATTCTAGTGGATACTATACTTCGGAGCATATTATAACTTTCGGTCTTATTCTATCTTCATGATGAGTCCATGACTTTTCATTTGGTTGATCCACGACAACATGTGCATGTGTGCTTTGTAGGGTTCCATTCATTACATGCATATAGAGTAATATAGAGATGGGTGGGTGAGAGTGGGACAAGGCAAAGACCTTCTTGTATTATAGACATTAGACATGATTCATGCATGGTCACTTCCTTCTCCTTAAAAGAAGTGATTTGACCAACCCAAAAGCACTTAAATCGCAAATCTTCCCCCACTTTATTTTTTCACTTCATCATAGAATTGGAGAAAGGTGGAACAAAGTAACAAACTATAAAAAAGCCATCCACTTAATCTTCTTCAAACGGAAAAAGCTTTCTATATATATGGACAATTGAGTGTATAATCACTACCTCACGAGTTTTGAATTGTCATAAAGTTTCCCCCCATTGTCCCGGTGACCTAAAAGCGAGACTCATGAATTAAAGATAGGATTTTGTTTTACTGATCTTGCGACTCACATTTATAAATATAATTCAAATAATAAATTTAATATATGTGAAATTCACATATTAAAAATGTCATCAGCAGTAAATAAGATTCAAATAGTAGTAGTCATTCAAATAAGTCTGTAATTTATCAACACAATTCAAAAGTGAAGAGAGAGAGGATCCTCACCGGTTTCTTTTTGTGAGGATCCCGAAGATCCTCCACTCGCATTCGTTCATCGTACATCGTGCGGTAAGTGTTTGTTAAGTACTGTTTATATTCAATTTTAAATTAAAAAAATTTTACAATGATTTCTGACTGTATGATGTGCGATGAACGGATGTGATTGGAGGATCTCAAGATCCTCACAAAGAGGATCGAGGATCCTCCTGGAAGTAAAGATACGCGTTTGGCAGTAGGGATTTGATTTTTGAGATTGAGGTGGAGGGTCATGATCATGATGCATGATCCAGTTGATTAGTTAAATTGAAGAGAAGGAAGAAGAACAACAAAAAGTATCTTTATGATAGTTTTGAATGATGCCTCATATTTGACTGAGTGACATGCTAATGAAAAAGGCAAACAGTTTCCCGCTGCTTTTGACCTTCCCTACTCAAAATTTGATTTGTAGTTATGTACTTTATTTGCTTTAGATTATAATGCTTGCTTGATCATCCAAAGTCACCTTTGCTAGTTGTCAATGGGGTCTCTTTAGTTCACATTTCAGAATGAAAATAAAACAAAGCAAAACAGATTAAGGTCGATTTTTATTATTCATCAAGTTCACATCTTACGTCACATTTAGTGAAAAATTAATTTTTTTTCTTTTTATTTTTATACTAAAAGAAACTAAGAATACACCATACAACACAACCAGTCCCAGCCATCACAATTATATTGATCCGCATTCACAACTCAAACTCACATAGTCAAACATGTATGTATTTTGGAGCTGCAACAGAAAAATGACCATTATATTATTGTCAATATAGTTGCTGATATGTATAATCAAGGTTACACATACAATACATATAAGATTAAAATTTTGACCTAGAAGCCGATGAAGAAGCTATGAAGCCATGATCTTCCAAAGCTGACGTTCACTCCTCTATCAGTTTTTCAATCAACTAACAATAAGTTTTAGTTCAAGAATGAGTGGGATAATAAGTAGATGCCACCTTTATATAGACAAATAATTCCTATGATTCTTCTATTAGAATCCTTGTAGGAAACCAACATTTGTCTCCTAGTTTTAATATCAATGAGTAATTTAGGATTCAATTTCAATTTTAATCGTATGTAAACTAGAACATCCAAACCTCTTCCAATATGACTTTTCTAAACTAATTTGAACTCAAACCTAGTCCAATAAGACCTTTCTAAATAACATAGGCTTAAGTTTATTGGGCTTTCGGAATCCCAAGTTTTATGTTGGTATTCTAACTCGCCATCTTCTTTTATTTCAGAGCTTCATGATATTGTATTATTCTTGTAATTGTAGTCCCTTTAATACATGCCAATAAAGAAGAAAAGAGTAAGCAGCGGATCAAACTGACTCAGCTATAGAATTTAAACTAAGATCAATAAAAAATAACTTCGTAGTAATAATATACGTAGTAATTTGTTTGATTACTTGTTACCAAAACTTCCAAGGGAGGCTAATTAGTGGAAGGAATTTGCAGCAATAGCAAGGTGTTGAGTTCAATGTCAATAAAACCACTTACACCCTTGTAACACGGTACCAGCTGCATGGATTTGGCGACGTTGGATTCCAGTCCTGGAGGACATTTTTTGGGTCGGCTAACTTCATTTTCCAGACATTAGAGCATAGCTTCCGAGTTGCAACCCACTGATGCAACAGCTACTGCAACCGCAAGTAGAAAACCAAGCCAACCTGGAAAACACATCAGTTATACAAAATGATAGAATCTAAGCGATAATCAAAGTAGAGCTTGAATTGTTCCTTTTATAGAGGAACTGGGATTTTATACATTAGATAAACCAACATTGACATTGATAATTTGGTATATATAGATGGGGATCCCTTAAGGACACCGGTGTTGTTGGGATTATTAAATTGGCGACCACTGGAATGCATCAGGAATTAAGGTTGGCGGGAGGAAAAGTCCACAGTCATCTCTCAAAAGTCTAGGGAACACGTCACACATCACATGTCGTTATTTCTTTCAACTTTTTCAACTAGCATCGAAGATCCCTATTAATGAGTTAATGTATAATGATATATAAGACCATAAACCAGTAAAAGAATCAGAGAAACTGTGACTAAAATGCATAGATACATTATTTACGCATTCTGTATTCTTTTCTCTTTTCCTTTTTTTCTTTTTTCTTTTTGCATTTTGTGGTAACTGCAAATCGTATATAGCAAACACCGAAAAAAAAAAGAAAAAAAAAAGAAAAGAGAGCAGCTAATTACTGATGGAAAATGCTCATTTGCATAGAAAACGAGGAGAGAGACGTTACAGATGTACATGAAACGAGACTGCGAGGTGGCGATGTCCTTTACTCACATTATGTTTTGGACACCACAACCTCAGGTCCCCGTTTCATTTAAGTCTTAGAAAACGAAGAAATATCAAATAATTCTGAAATAATACATTGTGAGTTTTCGACTTGTGAGTCGAAGCCGGCACCCCGTCGATATAAACTGTAAACCAATAAAAGAAAATAGAGAAATTGTGACCAAAATCTGTAAGATATGGTAAAGAATCCGAGGGTGTTTACTAGTTCAATGGAAGTTTCTTTGTCTTTAGAATGACAACTTGGATTGTCTTCTCTTTCGATTCCTTGGCAAGAATCAAAGTGTTGATTTTGTAGAAAGTATTGTTTTATTGGATAGCTTTGATTCTTTTCCACCTATTGTTCTTGTTCTGGGAGAGCAGCGGAGCTGTTTATACGCAGGCATGCACGTCGCAGACAAATAGACAGAACAAACAAATAGTATTTGATCTCATGGAGTAACCGACTGCATAATTATACATTTGCCTTGTGACGAAAGTAACAAATATTTACAAACAAAGAGCTAGGAGAAGCCTAAGTCGACATGGATCTAACCATCAGGAGCATCGGTAGTAGCCTTCACAAATCGACCCTTGACTCGCATCCTGGTATCAGCTCTTGCCTTCCTTGACTCGTACCTTATGTGCTTCTCATATCTGTTCACAAAAATGGCACAAGTCCTGTTATACGGTGATGGTGGAACGGGTAAAGTAGAAGAAGATAAAAAGGAAACGTACCTTCGGGTTTTCTTCTTCTCTTTGTAACGAAGCATGGCGTTGCCTCTGTTTTGTGCAAGCAACTCCATGTCCGCCTTTGTTCCTACTGTTCTCAGACTGTCACCCTTCATAACAAATGATTGTTCCATAAAATTGATGTCGGTAGAGGAACCACAACATTTGTCTTCGCCAAATACCGACCCTGATGATGGCCGTCCAATAGGGACGTTGCTGCTTGCAGATGTTGCTGGACCCTGATGATGGCCGTCAAAATTCAACTGCAGCCCTCACAATTAAAGAACCAAAGTTTACATACAAGAAGTTACGCATAAATGCTTCAATATCAATGTCTAAAATATGCGAGTTCCAATCATCAAAAAACAACTTGCAAAGTTGAACACTCATAAAGACTTTTGTTTACAATGTTGACCATTTTGTGCCATTCAGTAATAGAACATTGGTTCATTACTTGCTACATAAAGATTTTGGATTTCTAGTTAGATTGCATAAAAAGCAAGAGGGATTACCACATATGGAACTTATACATCTCTAAAACAAAAGTGAGGTTTAAATCACATACAAGGGGTTCTAGAGTGTATTGATTTCCTAACGTTTTCCAACCACAACCACTACATATAGAAAGCTGTCGAGATTGATTGGAGTACGAAATACTTGAACATGACAAAAGGTTCCGTATGAGGACAGTATGGTATTGATGTATTTACAATGCCTCAGTGAATAAACAAATGAATACAGAAAGGACTTACATTGAATTTTATGTCCTCATGTCCAATAGGGCAGTTCACCTGGTACATATCTCTGAACATTTTTGTATCAGTCAATGATGTTTCTTTCACAAGTTCGCTAAAATTCTTAATCATAAATCCTGAATCGTTTGAACCATATGTGACTTCCAATGGACCTGACTCTTCATGATCCCTCAACCGTCCTAAATTAAAATCCCATATCTGCAAGCCAGTAGCAAGTTAGCGTGACTATCATAGTCGCACACATATCTTATTGTAATGGGGAACTTACTATTAATGCCAATCCATTAGTTATGCAAAGCCTTCACAATTAAAAACAAGATACTATAGCATATAAAACCCTTAATGCTGGAAAAGAATTCAGTCCTATCAAAGCCAAAAGAAAACTTGCAGAGGAAGTAAACAAAAACAAATTGGGAACCACTAGTGGAACAAGTTCACAACTGAAATCTCATCGACGAAAGGAACTAATTTCTTTGCTCTTTGCTCTCATATTCCACTATATGAAGTTCTAGAGTTAGGTGTAGACAGATAGTGGAACTAGTTGGAGTGAGAGTTGTTCAATATAAAAGGAAGGAGTGCAATAAGCTAGAAGAGAAACGCAAACACAGATTAAATATGCAGAGGTGAAATCTCGGTTAAACCTTATTTCCATTGTCTTATAAGATTGAAATCTCGATTAATTATGTAGATTCGTTATCGATGTGTTTTAACTAAAGCTCAATTCAGGAATTAAGTTCAATTGACATCAAGCAAACTAAAAGCAAATTCAGGATGATACCTGAGTGTTGTGTCCATGGGGATTGCTATCCCACAACATGTCACCGTCACGGTTCTCTTCCGGCATCATGAGCAGAGTCGTAAAGGGTGTTTGCTGCTGCAACACTGGCTGCGAAGCCGCAGCTGGAGCTACAACCCCGTCAACACCTCCATTCTCATTCCTCACATCAATTGAAGCATGCCCTTCCATATTCTCACTCCCATTCTCCTCCTGCCAACCATTCCTTGCCGGCGTACCTGGCACCAAATTCTCACCACCACCGCCTCCACCGCCACCGCCACCTCCACCTCCACCATCCAAGTCTCTCTTAAACAACTCCAGCAGCTGCTTCTGTATCCCGTGCTTTTGTTTCCCGCCTATGCCCCCACTATTCTGTCTCTTCATTTCACCAGTCCGGTAAACGACGCAGTTCTGGTTGCGATTGGGCACCATCAAGTCCTGCAGTCCAAACCCATTCCAAGACGAATCCATGGACGGCAAACCCATATCCCAGTTCTGGGACTGCAGGTCGGGTCGAGCCGGCAGAGTCTTGTCCTGGAGATCCAGACCCAAAAGAGAGGCGAGCTCGAGCGCCGAGGGGCAGCCTGAGAATCCCTCGAGAGGGGTGCGATCGTGCGCCGCGGAGACAGAGCAGCTACCGTGGGCGTCCCAATCGCACTCCTGGCAGAGAACGAGGTTGTCGGTGGAGCAGCGGACTGAGACGGCCTCCGAGGCGCAATTATCACAGATCAGAGAGCGCTCGTGCTTCCGGGAGAGCAAGTTAGCGGAGTGGACGAGTTGGTCGCAGAACAAGCAGAGCTTGGCGGAGTCTGCCCGGCAGTAGAGAACCGCCGGCTGGTCGCTGCAGAAATCGCAGGACACCCCTTCTACACCTCCAGATTTGGGGCTCACCATTTCTATATCCCTAATTTCCTACCGACCAGTATCAAACTATTCCAAAATTTGCAGAAAGATTCAAAGATTCAAACTTTGAGAGAGATTTTCAAAACCCTTATGAGAATTTGAAGAAAAAATTCAGGGAGCAGAAGGAATTGTGAGAGCAAAAAATGACTAAATGGAGTGTCTGTTTGTCCGTTTAGGCTTCGGATCGCGATGCTGATATTTTTTTACTATTTTATTTGTTGTTTAAACGGAAAGGGATGGAAATAGGAAGTGGAGTGTAAGAGTATGAGTAATAGCAAATCTCTTTTACTATCTTTGGGCAAGTTGCTGACATGCTCTGTTATTATTAAAAGGTCTCGGGGAAAAAAAATATCGTAAAAATGGAGCCCATTCGAATAAACTAGTGATAACATCGCTATCGTCGACCTTTTTGCTGCGCTGTCGTCTACATTGGCATGTTAATTATTGTTAAATTTCTCTTTTGGTAATAAAATTTTGCACCGTCTTGATTTTTTTTTCTTGGTCAATGGGATTTTTAAAAACAAAGTTGAAAAGAACATAGTATAAAGACTCCGATGAGTCACGAAGGTGAGCAAATAACAACTGCTTTATAATTATAAATGGGACATGTACAAATGAGACCTTATTTATGCATTCAACGTACAAGTAAATATTCTCATCTATACTAGAATGTGTTTTAGTGTAAAAGTTAAGACCACACAAAAAACCAAAAAATTCTAAATGAAAATTTACATGCCGCCTCCTCGGCCGCATAATTGGTGGCGACGACTAGCGAAAAAAAAAAAAAAAACCTCTATAGAAAAGCAAAACTCAAGCTTATTCGTCTCAAAACTAGTGATAATGAGCCAAATCTGCAAATCAAAAGAAACTATGCCCATTCCAATTGTCACAATTCCGGTCCTCAACTGAAAACAAACACACAATTGGCATCTAAATGCTCAAATCCAAGCTAAAACGAAAAAATTCAAGTGGTGAAACACCAAGTCAAAAAGACCCCAGACATTTGTAAGGGTGACAACATATAGTTGCCTTAATCAAAGAGAACCACAAATAAAGCGGCGAACTAGTGTTGAAATGAGATCTGCCAAATCTGAAGGAGATGTCAGTGAAGCATGTAAGTGGTTGGAGGGTTGATTCGAAATTATGGGAGAGTTTAAGCGAGAAGCCCCAAATCATGGCACAAAAGTCCCAAATCAAAGGTGTAATACCTTGAACAATGAGCAAATTGCCCAGAGATAGAGCTTCATCCACACCACCTGTAGAAGGTGGGTTGCTCCACAGTTCTTGACGGGAATTTGGGCCATTTAACAATACAATAAAATAAGTATTTCACATGATGTTCAATGATTTGTTTGATATACTATTATTTTAACATTCTTGTTTTATGTAAGTTTTTCTCTTAATAAAATTTGAACATTTTGATCCTTGTGTTTTGAAATTTAGCGAAAAGAACTCTTAAACTTCGAGAGAAAATAAAATCTTAAACTTATCAACCCATAATCACTAACAATGTCTCCTCACTTGCAAATATAAGGTTTTAAGTTCAACTATTGTATAATAAGTTTGATATCCAATTATTGTGAATTCAACATTAATGTAAACTGTAGCAATGGTTCTTTAACTTCAACTCAATTGAAGCAATGGTCTCTCAACTAAAAATTCATTACCATTGGTCCTTCAACTCAACAAAAACGTGCAACTATGCTCATTTTCGCCAATTCTATTAGAACTTCCATCAAAATGAGTCATGTGTCATGCACGTGAGGCTAAATCAAGGGGCAAAGAAGAAAAATCAAATAAGAAAAATTATATCAATGGTCCCTCAACTTTAATTCAACTGGAGAAATGATCCTTCAACTTTAACCCAATTGGAGGAATAATCCCTCAACTTTAACCCAATTGTAGCAATAGTCCTTCCAATATAACTGATTTTGACAGAATTTTGATGGAGTTGACGAAAATAACTATATCTACATGTTTTGATGAGTTGAAGAACCAATGATAATGAATTTTTAGTTCATAGACAATTGCTACAATTTACTATGTAACATTATGTGCCTAGCTTACTTCTCCAACCTTCACAGTACGTAGAATATCAAGGGTGTGCTACGTAAGGACCTGTGGAGGCACGTGCCCCCACTGCATTTGTTGTCATCACATGCCCCCACTGCATTTTTTTGTCATCACATTGTGATTGTCTTATGTTACCTAAGTACCCTTAAGTAACATCAACACTTTCACGAGCTAACTATGTTCTCCTATTGAAAACAAAAAACAAAAAAACAAAAAAAAAACAATGTTCTCCTATATTTTTGCACGATATTCTGACGCCAAACATGTAAGGGTAATATTTAGGAGTTCAATTTTAAAATTAAATTGTGTAAATCAAACGATGTGGTTGTTGATAATTGAATTATAAATTAAGTGTTGATTAACGTACTTATTTTTTATTAGTGGCATGTTATTTATTTACACATCATATTGAGTACTTAATAATATTGTACATTTTCACATCATCTCCTTACTTATGTAACTCTATGTGTATTTGCCTCGCAAAATCTTAGCTCTTGTTTTTTAGAGTTGTAATTATAGAGGGCAAAATAGCTAACACACACAAATTAATAAGTAAATAATACGTCCATTAGTCTTCCACTCTTCTGTAAAAGAGTAACCGTAGATTTGATAGTTAGAGTGATTGAGAAAAAATAAATAAATAAAGTTGTGAGAATTACACACGTACTTGTTTTTATCAAATCTAAAACACGAAAATCAAATTGTGCCTAACCACAAAAATGTTTAGCAGTAAATTGTTTAATGGTAAAAGTATTTTCCATTAATTGAAAAATAATAAGTTTACATAGTGTATATATATACTCAGCTTGCTGCACACACTTGTGCTAACAACAGATCCTAACCATCTAACTGACTATTGACAGTTGTAACAAATCTAACATATTACAATACAAGCTAAGTTTTATGTTTTACATTTTGATCCTTAATATGCCCCCTCAAACTGAACTGAGGTATCCGAAGAGAAAGTTTACTTCTGAGAAGGAGAAATCTGGGCTTTGGCAAAGATTTTGTACAGACATCAGCAATTTGATCTTGAGAACATATAAACTGCACTGATATGGCTTTGGAAAGAACTTGCTCTCGGATATAGTGATAGTCAATTTCAACATGCTTCGTTCTTGCATTTAAGACTGGATTTTTAGCTAAGGAAATTGTAGAGATGTTATCACACCACAGTTTTGGAGGTGCTGGAAGAGTCAAACCAATATCAAATAATAACTTACAAATCCAGGTGATTTCTGCAGTTGTATTTGCCAATGATCCGTACTCAGTTTATGTAGATGATCTAGCCATTGTTGGTTTCTTTTTAGTACTCCAACTAAGGAGAGAATTACCCAAGTATATACAGAAACCACTGGTACTTGTTCGATCAATAGAACACCATGCCCAGTCAGCATCAGAATAAGCATGAATACTAAGAAATTTGGCACATTTAGGAAACCAAAGACCTAAGTCAAGAGAGCCTTTAAGATATCGCATAATTCTTTTGACTGCTTGGAGGTGTGATTGTCTTGGATTGTGCATGAATTGACACTCAAGGTTTACTGCAAATGAAAGATCAGGCCTAATCCCGGTCAAATATTGCAAACCACAAACTAAAGTTCTATACTCAGTAGGATCAGAGATTAATGAAGATGAGTGATCCAATTTTAAGGTGCTTAAAGGTGTGGTAGAGGGCTTAGCACCATCCATCTTGGCTTTTTGCAGCAAATCAAGTATGTACTTTGTTTGAGACAGAAGAATCCCTTTGGAATACCTCTTGACCTCAAGTCCAAGAAAGTAGTGCAAGGGGCCAAGATCCTTGATAGGAAACAAGGAACTAAGATGAGAAATGGTAGCTTGACAAGCTTGAGAAAAGGGCCCTATCACTAATATGTCATCAAAATACACCAACACAAACACTAATGCATAATCCTTTTTAATAAACAGATAGTGATCATTTTTAGAACCAATGAAACCCAGAGGATGTAGAGCACCAGTTTGTCATACCAAGCTCTTAGAGCTTGTTTCAACCCATATAGAGACTTTTGTAAGTGACACACATGAGTTGGTTTAGTTGGATCTTCAAAGCCAGAGGGTTGCTTCATGAATACATCTTAAAAAAGATTATCATGGAGAAAAGCATTACTACCATCAAGTTGGTTTAAAAACCAATCAAGTTGAACTGCCATGGTCAAAAGAAGCCTAATGGTAACAGGCTTTGCAATTGGGCTGAAAACATCTGTGTAATCCAAACCCTTTTGTTAGTGAAACCTCTTGGCCACCAACCTAGCTTTATAATGATCTATAGAGCCATCGGCCTTTCTTTTGATCTGAAATACCCATTTGCAGCCTATAACTTTTTGAGATGGGTGAGAATGAACCAATTTCCAAGTTCCAATTTAGAGAAGTGCATTGAATTCTTCTTGCATAGCTTGTATCCACTGTGGTATCTTGACAGCTTGAAGATAAGTACAAGGTAAGTAATATGGGGAGACATATGATGGTAAAGGATGTTTAGTGGAAAGAAGGGCATTAGGTTTATAAATTCCTGCTTTTGAGGTCCCCACACATGATATAGGTATTATATCCCCATACAAGCTAAGTTTTATCTTTTCTAAAGCCTTTCTTTCCACAAATGTAGTAAACAAATCAGATTTACACTTGAGAGGAAATAACCAAGTGTACTTAGTGAAATCATCCACAAAGATGATATAGTACCTATATCATGTGACAGAAGGAACTGGTGAAGGTCCCCACGCATTTGTATGCAAAAGCTCCAAGGGTTTACAAGAAGTACTAGTTACAGACCCAAAATAGAGTTTAGGACTCTTGCCTAAAGCACAATTAGAGCAGAAAGACTTGGTTATACTAGTAGATACAAGAATGTTAGATGTTGAAGTCAACTTATTTAACACTTTGACAGAGGGATGTCCCAAGCGTTTATGCCAAACATCTTGAGATGTAGTGATGGATGCAATAAACATATATTGATTTCCAGTAAGAGGGAGAGATGCAGTGAGAGGATAAAAGCCATCCCTCATAGAGCCTTTAAAAAGCATCATCTCTGAAGAAAGATTCTTCACAGTAAAATACGAGGGATAAAGGTGAATAGAGCACCAATTATTAATAGTAAACTGATTGGCAGATAGTAAATCTTGTTTCAAATCAGGAACATGCAATACATTATTGAGATTAAACATATAAACATGTGTATGAATTGTAGAAGAGCCAGAATTTAGTATGGGCAAACCTTTGTCGTCGCTAATATAAACTTGTTCTGGACTATTATATGGCATATGAATTTGTCATGTGAGAACTAGCGCCGGAATCAAGGAGCCAAGTAGGAGGACTAGATTGAGAAGACTTGGCGCTGACACACGTAACAGATTGAGAAGATTTGATGCCAAAATTAAGATTCATGCGATTAGGACATTAATTGCTTCGTGATCATATTCACGACAGAGTTGACAATAAATCATTCTTCCATAGTGGCCTCTACGATTATAGGTTTGGCGTTGATTGTGTGGACGATTGTAATTCTGGTGCTGATTGTTGGATCCATAGGTGGAGAAATTGCAATCCATTCCACGAGATTGAAACTACCTAGGGTTTGAAGAGTTGCGATCCATTCCACGCCCTTGGTGCGAGTTGACATTGTTGAAATTCTAAGCAACAAATGCCTGAGGATTATGGTTTGGCAATGGCATAGGAAGAATGCCAACAGAAGATGATCCAAAGGCCGAATGAAAGGCCTGAAAAAAAGATGGAGATACTGATTTCTTTCGATTTGCCAATTGAATTTCTTTGCTCGGTAACAATCCATGAAGCTCATCAATTGTTGTAGATCCAAGCCGAAATTGCATCGATGAATAAATCGAATTCAGGAGGAAGACCATGAAAAGTCACTGAAATTGTTTATACCGTATTTAGACCTCATATAAATACTCGAGGGACTTAAATGTAATTATGTGGTAAAGGAAAGGGCAAATATGTAATAAGTGAGGAATCCTTATTCTATAAAAGGACCCATCACCCTCACAATTAGGATAGGCCATTTTTGGAGCCTTCTCACCCCTCTCACATCTCCTTTCATTACAGAGGTTCTCTCCCTCACCTCTCAGAGAAATATACAATCAGTGTGGATGTAGCCCAAACCTTGAGGTGAACCACGATATATCTTGTGTTATTTACATTTCTGCAGATTCATGGTCGGATTTACGTTGTTCCAAGACCTCCGATTTTGTGCATCAACATTTGGCGCCGTCTGTAGGAATCGACACGAAAAGTTATGTCGGTTCTTTCTCAATTTTTCACATCCACCGTGAATCTGCAAAATCACAAAAAACCCAGAAACAGAAAAGATCCATATCTCTCCCTCTCTTTCTCTCTGTAGAAATGCTCTCATGTCTCATCCAGTCCAAATCCAATCTCCTCTGGCCCATCCTCAACTCCACACCCATGTAGCTTCATTTCCTCCACTGTAACAAAAACCCGGATATCCCATTTATCTAGAACAATGGAAGGTACACTCTTTCCATCTCGACCTGTATATCTCATCCCAGCAAACAGACTAACACAGCCAAACTCTCAGGTGAAATTCAACTCAACGACGCTGCCACCGCCTCATCAGTCGCGAGCTCCACCATTTCCTATATACTCTCTCCTGCAGCACATTCTGAGCCTCTCCTTGCCTCCCAACACTCCCCACAAGCTCAAGCCTTTAAACCTACCTCACCAAACCAATGGCAGTCTCTTTTCTCTTTAAATTTTGACGGATTCGACCTCCAAACAGCATCAAATGAAGAAACCCACCTCAGTTTTGGCCCCTCATTTTGAGGACGGCGCGAGAGTTGTGAACAAAATCTTTAACCTCGCAGATCAGATTAGATCAGAACAGAAGCAGAAGGAAACAGATTCGCGCAGATCGCCATAGATTCAGCGGCTCGAATGAGCAGCGGAGGCCTATTCGAAGGTCTATACAGGGTCATCATGCGCTATGACTCTGTCTACGTCACCTTCGTCATCACTGGAGCCTTCCTCGGCGAGCAGGCTGTATATTATGGAGTTCATAAGCTGTGGGAGTACAATAATGTTGAGGAACGATATGAAGATATTCCAGTTCTGGGGACAAGGCAATCAGAAAAATGAGATTACAGATGCTTCTCTTTAACCATCCTAAAAGTTTTCATAATCGAAGGTCTGCTCTGCATGTGTCATTCTCTCTGTCTAATTCTTACGGATTCACGCAGATCGCATCGAGATGTTCGCGTTGATGGTCGTTTGAGATTGTGATGATTATTTGATATGCTTTTGCACTTCAGCTGGTTTAACCCGCTTTCGCCTGTGTTATTCGATTCGAATTTCACAGATATAGCTACGGAGCTCTTACACAATCTATAGGGGTTTGAATCCTTGATGTTTTCGAGCTTGATTCGATGGCGTTTCAGCAGCAGATTCGAGTCTTATGAAAAATGAATGTGCTATAAACCGAATCGATGGCTATGTGAATGTTAGAATTGTAATTTGATGACTGGGAATCTGAGAGATGGGGGTTAATTGGGTTCGCATCGGATGTATGAGATGTCACGCCCCGAACCCGGGGTCGGTAGTAAAATAAGACCCCGCACCCGAAACGCGAGTAAAAGTAAAAATAAATAAAAGGAAATCGACACGGGTTGAAAAATGAAATCCTCTTATTAAAATAACTCCATAATCCTTACAAGGTGTACAAAAGTAATAAATTAAAATCCTTAAACTTCTCCTCAATCACAACCTCAGCTCTTCTAACACCTGTCTTGCCAAATAACACATGTCTTGCCAAATAGCTCATCTGTAACATAATAGGTGAGGAGTGAGCAACCACCACCGTCGCTCAGTGAGTAGAATATATAATATGCCAGTCAAGCTTGCCATTTTAATCATACTATAAACTAGGATAATAATATCAAATCATTATACACATAATGCCATATCACATCATCCCTTCACGTATTCATTATATCCTTCATAAATTGTAACTCACCACGTGACCCTTATTGACCTTTCAGCCCTAATGTCCCCGTGTAATTTACATTTATCCCTCGGATTAATGCAACACTAAAGTTCTCATGCTATATGAACATGTCCAAATAATCCACATATCACGATATATAATAATTCCAAAAGCATTTCAACAAATCCAACATGCTTAACTTGAAATGGATAGAAATTTATAAATAGATAAAACCCACAATAGTTCGTGGTTTTCATTTATCGAAAATAAGAATATTTTAAAACACATACTCCTCTTCATGCCACCAACCAAGTGATCAAAAGTACGCCCAGTACTCCAAATTATACATGAGTATTACTCATGTCATTCATACATAAACATTCATGAGCATCACTCATGACAATCATACATAAACATTCATGACTATCATTCATGTCAACATTCATGAGCATCACTCATGTTAACATTCATGAGCATCACTCATGACAACATCCATGAGCATCACTCATGTCAATCAACATAAACATTCATGAGCATCACTCATGTTAATCAGCTTCAAAAGCTTCATTTACAAAGCTCTAGCTTCAAAAGCTTCATTTACAAAAGCTTTAGCTTCAAAAGCTTCATTTATAGAGCTCCAGCTTCAAAGCTTCACTTGCAAAGCTTCATCTACAAAGCTTCAGTGCAGGGTATACAAATACCGCCTCAGAACAACCGCCACTTCGGCCCATACATGGATTCAATTTGAAGTCTCCAGCCAACAGACTCTATTGACCGAAGACTTGGGGGACTATATTATGTACCATATATTGGGCCTCAACTGGGCCTCATAAAAAATACTTGGGGGACTCTAGCCCATCACTTATGTATTGAGGAGTGAGCCCTTATTTTATAAAAGGGACTCTCTCACCTTCATTAGATAGCAACGTCGCCAACTGAGCAACCGCCTCGCCGCGAGCATCACTCCTAACCCATCACTTATGTATTGAGGAGCGAGTCCTTATTCTATAAAATGGACTCCCTCACCATCATTAGAGAGCATCGCCGCCTCCTAAGCAACCGTCTCGCCGCGAGCATCAACTCTAGCCCATATTTATGTATTGAGGAGCGATCCCTTATACTATAAAAGGGACTCCCTCACCTTCAAACGCCACAAGCCGAGCCAACTAAGGCAACATAAGCCACGAGCCGAGCAGCCTCGCAGCGTGTGCTACTTCTAGTTGAGCGTCATTTCAGATTGAGCAATGCCTCATATCGAGCATCAGTTCAAGACAGCATCTAGTTACTTCGGCCCACACATGGACTGAATTTCAAGTCTCCAGCCAAAAAACTCTCTTGACTGAAGACTTAGGGGACTACTGTTTATACCATATTTAGACCTCATGTAAATACTCGAGGGACTTAAATGTAATTATGTGGTAAAGGAAAGGGCAAATATGTAATAAGTGAGGAGTCCTTATTCTATAAAATGACCCATCACCTTCACAATTAGGAGATGCCATTTTTGGAGCCTTCTCACCCCTTTCACATCTCCTTTCATTACAGAGGTTCTCTCCCTCACCTCTCAGAGAAATATACAATCAGTGTGGACGTAGCCCAAACCTTGGGGTGAACCACGATACATCTTGTGTTATTTACATTTCTGCAGATTCATGGTCGGATTTACGTTGTTTCAAGACCTCCGGTTTTGTGCATCAACAGAAATCAACTCAGAATCCTCAACCAGAGCACCGACATTTGCAAGAGCATCAGTAATTTCTTTGATTAGTTGAAGATCAATTGCAGTAGGAGAATCACCTTTTGTAATATAGCGAAGTCGAGAACGAAGTTCATGAATATGCGATTGAGAAGCAACTACAAGATGCAATTCAAGCTTGGACCAAAGATCATGAGCAGATGTGACTCCAACCGTGTACGGAATCAGCGATTCATAGAGAGTATAATTGATCAAAATGAGAATGTTTTGATCATTCTCAAACCAAGCGACATACTCTGGATTCAGTGTCGTTGTGTAATTTCCGGCATAATCACAAAGAAACTTCGATGAAGTAGCCATGGATCCATCAATAATTCCAGTGAGATTGTACCAGCAGAAGATCGAAGCAAAGAAAGCGCTAGGCAAGGAGATTCTGGAAGAGGAAGTGATCATTTGTGCCGCATATGTAATAATAGGCATTTTGGGGAGTGTAGTTCAGGTAGTAGTGGATGTTTTACTTGTGGGCAGATGGGACATGGAGCTATAAATTGTCCCCAGAATCCGCAGAGGCCCCAGCAGCCTTCTATGCCACCACCAGCGCCAATCCAGCAAGTTCCAAGGTTTGGTAGTTATGGTCAGAGGGGTCGAAGTAGTGCTTACCATTATCAGGGTGATGCCGATCCTTATGCTCCATGACCATATCAGTATTCACATGATCCGTATTACCAGAATGGGTATTCTAAGTATCTTGGAAGGTATACTCCGTATCCTTCCATTCCAGCTGGTGGATTTCAGTGGTATCAGGAAGGACAACCCCAGCAAGTAGAGATTGCTTCCAGTAATGCAGGATCTTCAAGGCAATATAGTCAGCCGAGTCAGGGGTGAGGTGTGTAGGGGCGAGGTAATCAAGTTAATAGAAGTCGTGGGGGACGACAACAAGCCCAGGGACGTATTAAAAATATATCTCTGCAGGATGCTCAGAATCATCCGAAATTGATCATGGGTATGTTAAACATTCTTGGTCACTTTGCTAGAGTTTGAATTGATTGTGGTGCAACGCATTTTGTTATTTCTTATACATTTGCTCAAGTGATGCAACCTCATCCCACACCTCTAAGGTATGATTTAGAGTTTGCTATGCCTAGAGGGGAAATATGTTATGTTGATTTTGTATATCCAGGATGTCCAGTGATGGTGGAGGAGGTAGTTATGCCAGCTAATCTTATTCCGTTAGATATTGTCGATTTTGAAGTGATTTTAGGCACATATTGGTTGCATTATAATCGTGTCAATATTGATTGTTATGAGAAAACAGTTACTTTCCATCGTCCTGGATTACCTGAAATTACTTTTGTGGGTGATCGTAGTGGGGTGAGGCGTGGTGTTGTTTATGCTGTAAGAGCAAAAAAGTTGTTATCAAAAGGTTGGCAAGGATATTTAGCTCATGTAGTGATGAATGATGTTGCTTCTAGTAGTGTGGAGGATGTTCGAGTAGTCAGGCATTTTCCTGATGTATTCCCTGATGATTTACCGGGATTGCCGCCATATCGAGATGTGGAGTTCACTATTGATTTGCTTCCAGGTACGGATCCTATATATTTGACTCCATATAGAATGGCTCCTGCTGAATTGAGGGAATTGAAAGTCCAGTTACAGGAATTAGTCGATAAAGGTTTTATTCAACCTAGTACTTCACCTTAAGGAGCTCCAGTTTTGTTTGTAAGGAAGAAAGACGGAACTTTGAGGTTATGTATTGATTATAGGCAATTGAATCGGGTAACAATTAAAAACCGTTATCCATTGCCGTGTATAGATGATTTATTTGATCAGCTTCGAGGTGCCTGTGTGTTTTCTAAGATTCATTTGAGGTATGGTTATTACCAGTTGAATATCAGCAGTGAGGATGTCCCTAAGACTGCTTTCAGGAATCGTTATGGTCATTATGAGTTTCTTATGATGCCATTCGGATTAATGAATGCACCAGCAACTTTCATGGATTTGATGAATCAAGTATTCCAGCCATATATAGACAGGTTTGTCATTGTTTTTATTGATGACATTCTGGTATACTCTAAGTCTAAATCAGAGCATGTTCGGCATCTTACTTTGGTATTGAAGAAATTAAGGGAACATCGATTGTATGCTAAATTTAGCAAATGTCAATTTTGGTTGAATCAAGTGACATTTTTGAGTTAGTCTTGAGTTCAAGTTTAAAAACTTTAAAAACCCACTTTTTATGTTTTTAGATAATAGACTATATTTTTTAGTTAGTCTTGAGTTCAGTTTTTTAAAATGATCCTACCAAACAACTTTTTAAGACCTAAAACTTCAAAATTGTTTTTGAGTTAAAAAAGTTGGATTCAAATATAATGGCCCTAAGTATTTTAGGAATCATGAGTCTCTATATTTAATTTTGTACATTTAGCTACATTTCAATCATTTTCATAATGCAATGAATTA